ATATCAAAATAAATGGGATAATAAGGAAGTGAATATTCCTGAAGATGGGACAGAGACCCGAAACATTTACTATCTGAACGGTTTTTTTTTTTAGAGTTTTAGAGTTTATTGATCAATAATTACAATTTGGTCCGACCAGATGGCAACATCTATCGGTCGGTGCTATTATTAAGAAGTACATAATTTTTACATGGTTACATTTTTTTTTTCTAACAATTTCCATATTATAAAATTCTAACATAGAATAATAATGTAATATAGTTTGAATGATATAATAAATTATAACATAATGGTAATGTAATATAATATGTATTAAATACTGTAAAAAACAAAACAACCATAATAGCTTAAGAAAACATGAGTAATAAAAGAATTTACCCCAGGAGGAAAATATAATTGTTTTCGTATACGTTCAAGAAACTTTATACAAACATGCTAACTAAATATGAGCCCATAAATAACGATTTTATATACGTCAATTATCATATTAATGATTTAAATGGTGTAATTTTAAAACAATTTTTGGTGAAGTTGGAGTATAATCTGAGGTGTGGATTTGTTGACTAAGAATTTGGTACTGCGGTGATGAGGAGCTGAGTTTGTCTCTTGGCCCCGTTGAAGGTTGATCGTTGTATATTTTTGAGGAAGGAGAAGAATACTTAAATAGAGAAAAAACTATTTTATTTCAAGCCAACGTTTCGACCCAACTTTGCAGGGCTTCTTCAAGGGGGTGTATGCATTCAGTTTCGGTTGAAAATCTATTCAATATAAAAATTGATTTCATATTGCAAAAATTGTTCAGACTTGAAAATGGCCTCCGAACGTTTTCCTTTAAAATTATTATGTTATAAAACCAATAAAGCATTGGCGATCAGACGGCCATAGTTTTATGAGCGAAAACATTTAATATAGTTACTAAAATATTAACCTGGTATAGATACGTGTGGCATCAGTGAAAATTGTGTTAAACGCAGTTTTGTGAAATTTTATGGAAATCACCAGAAAGCTAATTTTCCTCTCTTTCTCTGTGTCTGTTATGCAGCTATTACGGAGACGAACATTCCTTTTTTATACTTTGAAATTCGAAAATTGAATTGAATCTGAGAGAATTCTTCAGTTTTTGCACTATACACATTATTAGTCCGTAGTACAGACACCTTTTTATCGAATTATTAACATCCGCCTGAAACTTCGTAAATAGCTCCATCTGATCGTAACATATAACTATTTTATTTATGAAAATTCTCAGAATTGGGGCGTTTTCAATCTGGAGGTAAACTTTGTCCATTTAATTAGGTAATAAAAAATCATGAATACTCATTTTCTTTCCACTTAAATCGTAACATAATATTATCACAAAATCGAAAGGAAAAAAAAAATGGCCAAAATTGGGTGTTTGGCCTATATAACCTCGTTATTTTATTTTTTTCGGGGTGGAGGTTACGCCAAACGGAACAATATTTTTGTAGGCCATTTTTTTTGTTGTTTATACTTTATGATCATGTTATCTTGATAGAAAGGAAATGAGTATTCATCGGTTTTTAGTATCTAATTAAATAGACAATGTTTGCCGATCTCCAGATTAAAAACGCCCGATTTCGAAAATATTCGTAAATAAAATATTTGTAGTTTACGATGAGATAATGCTATTTACAAAATTTCAAGCGGATGTTGATAATTTGATAAAAAAGAGTCTGTACCACGGACTGTATGCACAGGTATCACACACGATGTATCAAAATCCAGAAAAGAGTGTTTTAAATAAGCAAAATACTTTTCATATTGTCCTGAGTTGATGTATTATTTGTTCATGAAACATTAATTGTAATATAGTACAAAGTATTTTTTGTACGTTTCATAATTCTATTATTATTAAATAAATTTTAATTTACTTTTGGTCAAACAATATCTAATGATATGATGGAAAAGAGGTTAAGATGGGCGGCAGATGTAGCACAGAGCAACCCATCACGAAGCCCCAACATAACTGCAAATGCCCATGGTTGGCATAGACCTCTATAGACCAGGTGGCAGGCCAAAAACCAGTTGGTGGAGAGAGACAAACAAAGGCACCGTAGAGCTGCATACAGCTAGAAAGAAGTAGTCCAAGATATGCAGTGGTGGAAAAGGCTGGTCCAAGCGGGCCACTTAATATAAATAAATAAAGCCTGTTAAGTCAAATATTAAAACATAGTTATAATTAAGATTTTCATGAGTGATAAATATTCAGGACACAATCATTATAAAGTTTTATTGGTGCCGACGTTTCAACCCAAACATGTGGGTCATCATCAGGGCTTGTTTCGAGCACTGAAGTATTCAAGTACACAAGCACCTAATAAAAATCAGTGCACTAATAAAAACCTTAAAAATGACTGCGTCCTGACTTTTTATCACCTATTACCTATTATTATTTATCAAAATTTCCTATTTTATTAGCATGAATAAAAATGGTTTTATAATGATGTAGAGATGGTTGACCGTTGATATAATATGAGGAGTTAGTCAGGGGTGCGGTCAGATAAATACTAAATTAAAATATAGTAATTATTTTAATTTAGTATTTATCTGACCGCACCCCTGACTAACTCCTTCTCAAAAAATGGTTTTAATTAATTTTATTATATATTATAAATATATTTGTTGTATTTTGTAGAATAAAATGTCACTAAAAATTACTATCTCTCTCAGAAATAATAACTTCAATAAGACAATTATCTTAATAAGACATTGAACAACTAAATACCACTTTTCAATAATAGGTGATAAATAGTCAGGACGCAGTCATTTTTAAGGTTTTTATTAGTGCACTGAAGGTGCTTGAGTACTTGAATACCTTCAGTACTCGAAACTCGCCTTGATGATGACACACATGTTTAGGTTGAAACGTCGGCAGCAATAAAAACTTTATAATGACTAAGTCCTGAATATTGATCACCCATGATATGGAGAATAATCGATAAATTTCCTTCAATAATTCAATAAAGATTTTCCTTCCTTATATTTTTTTATAAAAAAGTTGTCTGTGCTTTTGAATATTTCGGTTTTTTTTTTAAATATTGTTAGTATTTGATTTATGCTTAGATTAAGAGCTAAATATATTTTACCTTTTGCCTGCTATTTTAGACTTTTTTCCCCATAATTTATTTATTTTCCTCCTCTCTTACATATATATATATGTACACACACAAAATTTTCCTGTATAGAACGAATCGTTAGGTATTCCAGTCAATTATAGAAGGAAATGGCGAGATCACAATTTTTGACTTTGGGGCATTTTTCGTACTAGATAGGAGGTAAACATACCAAAAGACCTCCTAGGTTGTGAGCCAGATATGAGGGGCCGCTTAAGTCACTTTTTTCGTGTATTCGATTATATCAGAAAAAATATCCGTCGCATCAACAGAAACTAACTATACAAAATTAAAGCTGATAAAATTTGCAATATGATTGATTATAAACCTTTTTCCCTACCCCGATTAGTTTTCAAGATATCCGTTCTTATCTATCCGTCAAATTTGATTGATTTAAATTCTACGTTAAATTGATTTTAAAATTCTACTTAACAGCAAATCTGCTAATTGTCACTACCATGACAGGTGCGGATAAAGATGCAAAGACAAAAAAAAAAAATAATAAAAAAAAATCTACTCAACTTTCTCAAGCAAGCCTTAATGAAACAAATCACTTTATATTTAAAAATAGAACAATAAAGTAGAAAACAACCTTAGTGGTGGAGTTATGAACTTCGTGTTGTTTATTTAAAATTAAAAATAAAGTATTTTACTTTTTTGTAGAGACGAATCAAAATAATTTAAAAAAAAAATTATAATGGAGTTAGAAATTTCATAGCTTTTTTTAAAAAACTTATTTATTGAAAAATATTACAATCTGTCTCAAAGGACGTTTATAATGGTGTTCAGTGATCACATTCACACTCTATATACAATAAATGAAATGAATTATACAGAAAAATAATATATATATACAATAAATATGAATAAAATAACCGAGGCTTTAACCGTAAAAACATAAATAATTGATTTAAATGATTTCCAATATCCTTCTTAAACTTTACACTGAAATAAAGGTATTGTAATTACAATCAAAGCCTTAAATATAATACAATATTTAATTCTGCTGTTTATTCACGTTATAGTTTTTCGGTATAATTGGTTTTATTATTAAATATCTTATGAATCATAAGTAAAATTTTAAAAGTTATCGCTGGTCAAATTAATAGCAATAAATTATATAAATATAAACACACGCACAACATATAAATATTAATATATAATAATACTCGTAGATATAATATTATATAAGTAAGTGAATCAGGCTTCCTATGAAATACTCAATAATGTAGCTAGTAAAACTCTATATATACATATAATATTAAATAAATATGTATATTTCACTTGATTACATACTTCAGTTGTGGTATGTGCCAACTTTGACTTCTAGTTTTTCATAATTTTAACTACTACTTTATAATTAAGGTTATTGATTTGACAAATGAGGCGTCTACTAACAAGAAAGGCATACCTTCATTTTAAGTTTTGGCCCGCTTAAAAACTTTTTAATAATTATTGCGTTAATAAAGTTGATTTCGTATACAATACGAAAAGCAAAAAAGAAAGCTCAGTGACGTGTCAGGAATTCAATCAATGACAAACTTCCACTGATTATTTTGCCAAATTTTAGATTCTTGATTTATTTATACATATTTGTTACTAACACATTTGTTGGTTGCCGCCTAAGATACACTTGAGTTTTTTTTAATTGTGTACATTTATCAAATATCTTAATTTATTTAAATTATTATTAATATTTAATGTTGGTATATTTTTTAATTTTGATATATTATATTTGTTTAAAATACTAAAAGATTATATATTTTAAATATCATAAAAACATTTGTTAATTAGTTATAAAAAATATTTTCACTCGGTTACTGTAATATAACTTAATGGGCTAAAACGTTGTCTGCTCGTGAGCGTTTAAGAGTCTGTTGTCATTTCTTCGTGTTGATTTTCTGTCGAGTTTACGTTAGTTGATTCTTCTGCCTCAGTATCCATTTCATCCTCTGCCATGTTGCCAGCAGGAGTGGCCAAATGGAACGCCTCCAACTTAGATGACAAGTTATCATAGGGCGCCACATCTCGCATTTCTTTTATGTAGTCAACAAAACAATGGAAACACAAGTAGTCTAAGTAACAAGCCTTTGATTTTGGAGACGACTTGACAGGTACACTTGCCTCGCATTTGGGGCACGCTACAAAATAAATATTCTCATCGTCAATTCTGCTCATTTTGGTATCCTGGATGTGTGGATGGATAAGGCCGAAGATACACTAACAAAACGAGTACTGCACTGCAAGTCTCAACCAACACTAACTAATTCGTTTCACACCCTTATGGGTCATCCCCACCAACTCAGGTCCCCTCCCACCACTAGCGGATCCAGGATTTAATTTTTGGGGGGGGGGGCTTCAGCCCGAAAGCTTTTTTTTTCATAAAAGTAACGATAATTACTTTGGAAAATACGAAAGAAACTAAGTACCTATATGAACTGGTGTTTAAGTGATTGCTAAAGCCCTTTTAAATGTAATTACACGAATAATTATACTTTAAGAGATAATTTTTTAGTATTTTTTCCGATAAAACATGGTTATATTTTACCATTTTGGGGAGGGGCCCGAAAGCCCCCCTCCCCCCGTAGATCCGCCCGTGCCTCCCACCCATGAGATAAAAGAGTAATAATTTCATATTTAAATACAGTCAATTCTCTGTATATACAACATAAATGAATCGAAAATCTCTAGATTACCAACTTTTTACTTTCACTTATCTATATATGAAATATTTTTTGGGTATGTGTTTGTGAGTGAACCTACCTAAAACTAAAAGTCATTCGAAACTAAAATTACCTATTTAAGGTATAGGCCTGGAATGCTACAGTAACTTTATCATCATAGTCAACTAACCGGAAGTGGCAATTTATATGATAGAATATCCACATCTTTTTTTAATTTTTATATTCCACCACTAAAATGCTTTGCCTATAAAATTGATTTTGCGTTCCTTTCTAATTATTTCAATGATTATTATGCTATAGTTTTAACTCCAATATTGTAGTACTGAACCCCTATTATCCAACTGTTGTCGTTAATTTATCCTAAGAGCTATTATACTTAATTTATTACTAGTATTTTTGTATTATCCATTGTAATAGGTTTTTTGGCCAGATTTGGGGTTAATTAATATGAACAATACTTTTATTCTAAAGGGACCTAGTCCCAGAACAAAGACGATTTTTCTAAAAAAAAAAAAAAAAAAAAAAAAAAAAAAAAAAAAAAAAAAAAAAAAAAAAAAAAAAAAAAAAAACAATATACCAAAGATAAAAAAAAAAGAATGACACTTTTAATTTAGGGTCAAACTAAAGCCGTCATACAAGAATTTTTGCACAGAAGCCAAAATCTACTTGGAAGATGAATTTCATTCATTTGGCCCACAAATCACCAAATCTGTGGGTGCAAATGGCTCTTTACCGGAAAACTATGTTTTCCAACAAATTACAAATCAATATTTTAGTTCAAAAACGTTAAAGATGCATTTACCATATTAATGAATTAGTTTATCAAGCTATATTAAAGAGTAAAAGAGGGAAATCGACAATCATCAAACCCAGTGATATTACAAAGAAATTTATTTACTAAACAAATATTAAAACAGTTCTAATACAACAAATATCTATAAAGTTGTTTGTTTTAACTAAATATAAACTGATACAATATTTCAAATTATTTAATTTAATAAATGATTGAACCAATAAGAATTCAGGAAAAAACAACAGATACTTAACATCTAATATTTACCATTTAAACAGCGTAAGAAAGTTTATCATATTCGACAATAGGATTATAATATACAAAGAAAAAACTAATATTTTACTCTATAATACTATAATAAATTCCTACTTTCTTTTATTTATCATTAAAATATTTACAATACCATACAAAGCATGTGTAATGCCAAATTATTTCATTTTTACTTAGATGCTTTATGTTTATTATACTTATAATATTTATTATACTTCAATTTTTAATCTTAACTAAGTTATGTCATTACCGATTTATGAAATGCCACCTAATATTTTATAGAACTGTTTTTTTTTTAACTATAATACCGTATGATGTTTTATAATGTTATATTTGTTTTCACGCGAATAATTAATACAATATCCCCTATATAAAAAAATAATATATAATATTTAAAATTCAAAAAATATTTTATTTGAAAGATACATAATTTAGAGTATTATTTAAGCTTACATATTGTATGTCCCTTTTAATTCTAACCAAACTGCGTTATATATAAAATTATATCTATATTTCAGTTTTTACACTCCAAGAATTTTAAATCGCACGTATAAGATTACAAACTCATCTTCAGAATCTACTGTACACTAAGATTTTTTAGAACGCGATATAATATTGTGGTATAACCCTTATTATGCATAAAAATTCATAATGAAACACATCAATACATTTTTAATTTAATATGATATTTTATGCTTTATAATTAACTTTTAAAATATTTTGCTCTTTATTGGTGAAGTTATACATACATACATAATAATGAAATGATTTATGTACATATATTCAATTATCATAAGAAAATCTTGCACTTACTTAACTCAATACCATGATATTTGAATTATTAAATCATAAATAAACAATTTTAATTAAAATTAATAATTACAATTATCATAAGCATATCTACGGTTGCAGAAGAATTTCTTATGGCAATACAAGCATTCAAATAAATGACCAGTACGACGCCGCGTTGGATTCTGCACTTCGTTCACTCCAGCTCCAGGAAAGAAGTTGTCACGATTCGAGGATTCTCCGCGCTCGGAACCATCTGTTTCAAGTCGTCTACAGGTTTGATGCTTAAGCCAGTCATCTGCGACACCAGATCCAATTTTTGGTACTGTCTGGATTCTCTAGATCTATCGCAATAGGGACATAATAAATTATAAATTTTTCTTCTTGGGTAGTGATGTAATTTAAAAGAATTCTTCCTAACCGACAATTTTTCATTACATCTACTTTGAAAAGCCTCTTGAGAACTAGATGGCCTTGCCAAAGATCCGTTAAGCCTGATTTTTTTAAGGATCCCACGCGTTCTACTTGAGGATTCATTATTGTTTTCTGTTTCTCGTGTATTGCTTGTACCGACAACTTCGGCATTCGTCATATCATCTTCCATATCGCCTGCTGCATGAATCAATGGATTCCTGGAAGACATCTGATGAACACTGATCATTTTGCTGTTGAAGATTGCAAATAAAATATCCAATATTTATAATATAGAGTTACCAATTATGGATATTATTATGAAGTATAACCAAATATCCTCAGATATATCTAGAATTATATCAGTAGTTTAAAAAAATACTTCCATATTAATGTATTTTTATAACGAAAGCATACCAACGTTTTCCATCATTAGGGTGTCAATCAAAGAAAACGATACAAAAATTCAACAAAATTAATCGCTTCCCGTTAATAAAAAATCTAAAATAATGATCCATTTATTTAACATTCTATTTTTTTAAACAAAATACAAATATATACAAAGGACAAGGTCCATCCACTGCCCGAGGGCTTTTTAAGGATTGGCTGAACATTGATCATTTTGCTGTTGGTTGCAAATCCAACAAAGGCGGTTTGTATCGGGCGGCGATTCAGAAGAAAACCTTATCCTGCATTTAGCAAACTCCACTGAATACACTGGATGTCTGATCATGTTGTCGTGGATATGACAACCGGTTTCACTGACCTAAGACCAACGGTGGACGTACACTAAACTAAGACTGACATGTACATGTGACAGCCTTACTACGATGTACATCCCCCACCACCTTAGTCCCCTTCCAATATTTTCTGGCGTTTTTATTCGCTCAAAATAAACCTTTAGAAAAAAAATAATATGCTTTTCATTTATTTATTTATAATACAGAGTTACCAATTATGAGAAAGTATAAGCAAATATCCTCAGATATATCTAGATTTATATCAGTACTTTAAAAAAATACTTCTATATTAATGTATTTTTATAATGAAAGCATACCAGCGTTTTCCATCATTAGGGTGTCAATCAAAGAAAACGATACAAATATTCAACAAAATTAATCACTTCCCATTAATAAAAATTCTAAAATAATGAACCATTTATTTAACATTCTATTTTTTTAACAAAATACAAATATATACAAAGGACAAGTTCCATCCACTGCCCGAGGGCTTTTTAAGGATTGGAGATAGCTAAGGGACCTTAAATAAGGGTAACATTTGTGGTACAAGGCCTTGTAACTTTCATTGAACGGGGAGGGACGGTTCTGCTGGTTATTTATTTTTTATAATATTTACACTATATCGAATATATACAGTCCAGGCTACATCCTTTGGCGAACATGTTCACCAAAGAGAGTTTGCCTCGAATTTTTAATACCTAATTAAATAGACAAAGTTTACCGACCTCAAGATTGAAAACGCCCCTATTCCAAGAGTTTTCGTAAATAAAATAGTTGTAGGTTACTATGAGATAAAGCTATTTACGAAGTTTCAGTTATAGGTATAGTTATTAGTTATAGGTTTACCTATAACAATATAGGCATTAAAGTTTAAATTTTATTAATAGCAATTAATTATTTTGAATTTTTTTCTTTGATTGAAACCCTGATGAATCCAGGAGCTCTCAAAAACATTGGTTTGATAACGTATAGATAGTAATAAAAAAATAAACCATAGTAGAAATGTCATATTCCATAAAACAATTTTTTTTTTCAAAATTGAAAAATCTGAGGATAGTGTAAATAAAAATTACATGAAATCTTTTCATATGCTAAAAATATTATCTTTTGGTATATTATTTTCAGTAATCAACCATTGTGATCACCAAAAAATTCAAAAACACGTTTTTTTTTTAATGATTGAATTGAATTTTGTTTAGTCAATGATTTTTATTTGCACCATCCTCAGATTTTCAAATTTCTCGTTTTTGAAATATGGCTTCTAAAGCTTAATTTTAAGCTCTTAATTTTTCAATTAGAAACGTTGAAATAGATAGCGTTCTGTCTGTATCTGTTACTAACGGCATGTATCTGGTAAAAAAAAACCGGTTTATTATCAAGTTACTAAAATTGATCAAAAATATTGTATATATGGCAGCAAGGTAATTCCAATGGTAATAGAACTATCATTTTTATCTCTTTCTTGGTAAACAACATCCAAAAGTAAACAACCAAACAGCTATTCTTAGTCAAAACAGCCAAACAGCCAAGTCGGCATTCCTCTCATATGAACTTTGACATTACAGTTTGTAAAGAGGATTTAAGTACCTAATAGGGAAAAAAAAAACATTTTTTTTTTTTAAGAATTTTACAAATTAATGAAAATTTCAATTTTTAATACCATCGCGTACAACATTATGTATATAATAACCTAAAATTCGGACAAAGCAAATGCAATAATAATAGTATAAGTTTTGTTTGAAATTATCTAAAATGTTTTTTTTTTATCGGCCGAGACATGTATCTAATATTTTTCGATATATTACTACAAAAAAAAAAGTTTAAATCGATGACCCTTGATTGTAAACTTCCCTTTTAAGTACAATTTTTAAGGAGCTGAACTTTTAATTATATATTTCTGTGCAATAAATGCATCATATTTAATAATAGCAATAAGTGCATAATATTTTGATTTGCAGAGATTTTGACGATTTGAAATTTAACCAAGAAAATAATTAATTCTTAACCGAATTCGTCCATATGGCGAAAATCTTGATTTCGTAAATAATCACTAACAGCGAAATGACGAAAATTTGTCATTTGTAAATTACAGAAAATAATTGAATCCTGTTTTTAATTCTGACAGAGATAAAGAGATGCTAGAATTTTACGAATGGCGGTGCGAAAAATTACTGGACGAATATGTGTTTTAATTCATAAAAAGAAATTTCACACAGAAGCCAAAAATCAACTTGGTACATGAATTCGTGTCATTTGGTCCGTTCATCACTCATTCACTACAAAAACTCCATTCATCGAAAATCATGATATTCGACCAATTAAAATATTGTGAACTTTCATCCGTTAGCTTCCAAACTTCCATGGATTTAGAACAATTATTATATTTTATTTTTTTAGCATGGTTTGACTCAAATTATTTTTTAGTAGTATTTGAAACTTCAGAAGCACCTGCTGATCAATTTAGAGTTTTTATCCATTTTTGAAAATTAGTGATATGATTTCGTTTGAATTATGCAAATTGTGTACTTTATTATTTCTTAATTAATTTAGCATTATGAGGGCAATAAGATATATATTAAATAAGCATTTATCATATTGATGAATTACTTTGCTATGCATAAAATATAATAATATGAAGGTGAATTGATACGGAAAACAGGGAAACTGACTATCATCAAAACCAGTTATATTACAAAGAAATTTATTAATCAAGTAAAAATCAAAACAGATATAATGTATATATATGTCTATAAAGTTATTTGGTTTTTACTTAATATAAACATGTAGAATACTTCAAATGATTTCATTTAGTAAATAATTAAACCAATAAGAACTCCGAAAAGACTGATACCTAACATCTAAAATTTAGCATAACTAACAATAACATTATAAAATTCGATATATAGCTTAACAATAGGATTACAATCAACAAAATAAAATTATATAAACTAAACACTTAACTATAAAACTACTAAACTTAATAATAAAATACAATACATTATAGTATCGTCTGTGCAGTTAATGAAATACAATTATAGTTAGTATATAAGTATAGTATATAATATCATGAAAGGCTTAATAAGACTACAGTATATTTTATGCAGTCTTTTTCACACCTTATGATTCTATATTTTAAAAAATATACTAAATTACACAATGTAATCAAATGCAACTTACATGCTTCATTGTTACATACTAAATATAAGTCTTTATTCTCTCCTTTATCAGTCTTACTCTAGAATGAAGATAATAATATTTTACTCTATAATACTATAATAAATTCCTTCTTTCTTTCATTTTATCATTAAAATATTTACAATACCATATAAAGCATGTGTAATGCCAAATTATTTCATTTTAACATTTTAATTATATGCTTCATGTTTCTATATTAAATCACTTTTAATCTCGAATCGTACATTTTTTTTGGAATGCTACGTAATATTTTACAGCATTATTTTTAAAAATGATAATACCAATTTTTTGTTTTATATATATATATATATATATATATATATATATATATATATATATATATATATATATATATATATATATTATTACACATACAGGTTAATAAACGACATGTCCAAAATTCTAAAGTTTTTAAAACTGCAAAATATTTACCGTTTGATACCGTACATTCTTACTTTATTTTACTGAATTAGCTAATGTTTATTATATAAAATTGTTAATCATAACTAAACTATGTCATTAACCTATTTTTGAACTGTTACCTAATATTTTATAGAACTGTATTTTTTTTTTTAATAAATATTAATACCGTATGATGTCTTGTTATCTTAGATTTGTTTTCACGCGATAAATTAATAAAATGACCCCTGTATTAAAAAATAATACATAATATTTAAAATGCAAAAATTATTCTTTTTGAATAGATATATAATTTATATTATTATTTTACCTTATATATTTTATAATATCACTTTTAATCCTAATTAAACTACATTATTTATTAAATTATATCTACAATCTAAGCATTTTAAATCTCACGGATAATATTATAAACTCATCTTCAGAATCTTCTATACACTAAGATTTTTCAGAACGGAATATTTAGGTATAACCATTATTATACATAAAAATTCATAATGTAGTACATTATGGCTTTATGAATGTAACACATTTTAATTTAATTTTATATTTTACAATTGACTCTCCTTTTGTTCTTGATTGGTAAAGTTATTTATACATATTTATGCATCTAGCGCAGTATTACACAATATTTTACGCTTTTGGTTTTTAAATTTATTTTATTAACTAAATATTTCTAAAACATAACAACTGCTGTTAGAATCGCGAGATTTTTAGTTGCTGGGATAGCATCAACCTCATCAACCTAATTTCCTACTATAGAGCAATTCAATCCCCTACCACAAACATTATAATTAATTATATACATTTCATTAAAATAAAATAGATAAAATATTTGTTTAAAAATAATATAATGCTATTATACAATAATATTATACAAATAAGTATATAGCTTAACAAGTCTTAGACTTTATTTATTAAATCGATCTATATATTTAACCATAAAAATCATTTGATAGATTTCTTCCTGTATTAAAATTATACAAATAAAACCAAATAAAAAAAATAAATATATTTTTAACTCTGATAATAAGCCAGTCTTAATAACATTTCTTAATGTTATCTCACAAATATAAAAATCAGATAATAGTTAATAGGTTGTAATTGTAATCTAATAGATGATTTATCATAAACTTTAACTTTAAACCTAAATTAATGCCATGATATTTATATTATCAAAGCCAAAATAAACAATGAAATGAAAAAAATAATTTCAAAATCTTAGACTATTATTGTTATAGAGCTTTATTAACAATGAAAATCTTCAGATCTTTAGATCTTTTTACTTCCACCAATATTAAAACTACTCCTATATTGACAGATTAAGCAACCATAGTCGGAGGAGGGACTAGAAATGTTACATTTCCTCTTGCATACGTAACATCTTGCGATGAAGCATGGATTTTCGTGCCCACACTGAGCAGTATAAAGCTTCGGTGGATTCTGCAATTCGTTCATCGCAGCTCCCAGATGTCGCGGGTACTTCATAAAGAAGTTCTTACTGTTCAAAGACTCTCCACGCTCTGGAACCTCCTGTCCTAATTCATCTACTACTATGTCTGCCCCAACTCCTTCATCTTCGTCATCGATAGGTTTGATACACAACATTGTCATCTGCGACACTAGATCCAAGTTATGGGACCCTCTGGACCCTGAAGATCTTGAGCAATCAGGACATACAAAGTTGGTACTGCCTCGTCTTGGTAAATGTATACCTCTTTTGAAAAACGTCTTCTTAATCGGCATATTTTCATCAGTAGTGCTTTGAGAAGCCTCGTGGGAACTAGGTGGTTTTGCCGAAGATGCTTTAAGTTTAATTTTTTTAAGGACCCCACACAATCTACTTGAGGACTCTTTAAGGTTTTCTGACATATAATTTTGTTCTGTTTCTTGAGTATTGCTTGTACAGGCACCTTCGGCTTCCATACGATCTCCTTCTCCAGGAGCATTAATCTCGGGCTGCGAGGAGACATCAGTCCTAGAAGAGCATTGTGCTGTATGCTGTTGAAGATGGCAATCCCAGCAAAGGCAGTTCGCATCGGTTGGCTCCAGAGGCAATACAGAAGAAAACTCTGTCTTGCATTTAATGCATTCAATCGAATAAACTTGACCACCGTTCATGTTGTCGATATGCCAAGACGGTTACAGTAACCTATGATTAGCGTGCAGGAACACTGTTTTAAGACTGAGCTTACAGTTGGGAGCCCTAATGTACATCCCCCACCACCTTAGATTTACCCCTTCCATTATTTTGAGTCTATTACCTGTTTTCGACTGTTACTTTTTACTTTCGGTGCACTCTGGCGGTTTTATCCACTCAAAATAAACATTTTAGAAAAGAAATGTCTTTTATTTTTCCATGTATTTTTTATTTCAATGTATCCAGAAGCTAAGCACTTTTATTAAGTAATTTATTTTCGGATTTAAAATTTTCACAATGAAAAATTTTCCGAAATTCAAAAATTAAAACAACAACAAAAATCACATATATATAATATTACCTGAAATCCATTGAACAAAAATAAAAGAAAGAAATTTTTAATTTTCCAATAGTAATATATTCTTTATTAGATAATGTTTTCTTGTTAGAATTTAGTCATAATTCAAAACTCAATAATATTTTTATCTCTCCTAATAATTAAAAAAAAAAATGAAATTTAATATATTGAAAATATTTGAAAGTCTACATTAATAGTTAATAGATACTTCATAAAGTTTTTATTAGAATACCCAAAAATTGTTTCATGATAATTTCATTAGTGTTTTCAAATTCATACAAGATAAATATCTAATATATGACCATTAAGGATTATTATATCTCCTAAGGATGAGTATCTATTATATTTATTTTCAATCTATTCGTTAATTCCTTGACTGAGTATTCAAATGATGTAATTTATTACATTGTACATATAAGTAAACAAGTGAATGTGAAGTAAAATGTATTGATTTAAGTATTATCGTAGAATTTGAGAAATCAAAATCGCTACTGCTTTCAAAATAATACTGTTTTTCTATTCATTTCTTAAAATCAAAGGGTTCAGTTTATATGAAAATAATAAGCATACATTAAAAAAATAGACCTAATATCAATATTAATATTACATAAATCACAATTAATTAATTTATCACATAAATCTATACGAATAAGTAAACATAACGGGTTTGTTTGAAGGCACTAATTTTGGTAATTATATGTCCCATTTGAAAAATTATTTTTAACTTAGATAGAAATTTTATTGGGGAAGGAAATAAACATTTTTCTATTATCTATTTTGTTTATATTATATAACAACCCGATATGACCCATTACAATTGTTTCAATATTGTACACACACTAAAGCTATATGACAAATATAATTGTTTTTCTATTAATCGGACTACAAATGAATGAAATGCGAATTTTCATGAAAATTAAAAAAAAATGTGGAAATTAAAACCTAGTTTGTGGAATCTTTGATTTTATTTTCCAGAGAATCAAATCAATCAATCATTTGGGCCCCATATAATCTGCTAGAAATAGCACAAGCCAAATCTCCGTAAATAAATCAAAACTGGGGATATGTAATGAAAACGTTTGAGGAGTTGTTCTTTATTTATTCCTTATAAATGCGTAAAATCTAATAGTTATTGATATCGGTTTGAAGAGCGGTAATTCAGTTTAACATCCAGGAATATCGAATTTGGAGAAAAACTCGGACAATTATGGAAGCTTTAATTAACTAAAAGAAATAAATTCCCCCATTAAAATCAAGTCCATAAATATCAGTATTTTTAATTCAGTGAAAATTCGTATTTAAGAGTTTTAAAATACGCTATCGACGAAACTGACTTGCTTTCTTACGACCAAAATTTTCTTGGCTTACTTTACTGGTTAAGTATTTGGTTTTGTAATTAGATATACTATAATTTGTAATTGTTAATTTCTTATATATTCATGTTATATATGTTAATTTAATACAGTCAGAAATATCTTATTTATCACAAAAAAAAAAAAATCAATTCTAAAAGAAAACCTGTTAATACTAACAGAGAAAAGTATTTTTAACTATTTATTCACTATATTTACAACTTCATTACAATATAAATACATCAAGTAAATCTGTATGCAGGTATATAATCACATGAAAACGCTTGTTGTGAAATTACTCACTGGTATCATTCTAATAATATGTCTAAATAAGGAGATCACGAGGCCATCTTCTTTTCAGATGCCTCGGAGGGTTATCAGGAGTCGAAGAGGAAGCAAGGTTAGAAATGAGAGGATTGGGATGATTATGAAATTTATTATTGTTATTATAGGTATCTGGATTGGTCCAAATCAGAAACATATTGTTATGGTTTATTTTATTTGTGAGAAAGTAAGGAGCATTGAGGATTGTGGATTTTAAGGATTGGATACGAGAGAAATTTTATGATTTCGAGGAGCCCCATAACTCCGTAAGTCCAAATAGGTATTATTACAGTCAATTTATATATGAGTTATATGAGTCTTTTGTAATCCATTGGAAGTTTAGAGCGTTTGTCTAGTAAGGATTGGAGTAAGCGAAAATCAGTCGAGCAGTTTCTTGTCGTTTCAGTGTTGAGGATTCCAAGTGAGATGTTTGTCCAGGTGGAGTCCTAGGTATCGGATTTGTGGGGATAAGTGGGGTGTTGTTAAAGGATACTGTAGGACAGCAAGTCATTGGTTTACAACGAAGGATAAAGGTGATTTGATGGGATTTATTGGAATTTATTTTAATCTTTCAGTTTAGACATCATTCTTCAAGATTTTTGATATGTGGTTGAAGAGTTTGGGATGCAATTGATGGATCGTTATTAACTTATAGGATACATGTGTCATCGGCATACGTGGTGATAGCAGTATTAGGATGGGTTGGGATTTCAGTTGTATAAACTGTGTAAAGGATAGAACCAAGGATACTACATTAAGGAAGAGAAAAGGTTAAAACAATAACTACAATTATATAATAAAACACAAATTTCGGCTCCTGTGTTTAATTGGTAACAACCCTCAGATACATTTAACATTTTTTGTCTTAGTATCACCAAAAATAATTGTATTTAAACTCCTTGTTAGAAAAACCTTCAGCTTCTAGCACACCTTCAATATTACTATGTAGAATTTGAGCAACTAGGTTATAGTTTATGAAATAAAAAAAAAAAATCTGGTGCGCGCAACACACAACTTTGACTTAACGCTCTACTTTAAATAGAAAGTGTATTTTAAACGGAGCTATAGCTTAGAGATAATAAGTCATTAAGACCATTATAATTACAAAATAACTATTTAATATGTCGACGGTAGGCAATAAAAATCTAGGGCTCCATCTGCTTTTACAAACCACACAACTTTCTTTGCTTTTATAAACCACAGAATGAATAACTCCAATTTCAACATTTTTGAGTAATGTCAATATAGTGATATTTTTAGTTGAAAAAGTTATCTATGCAGACAGTGAGTAAGTTGATTCCGGAGGTGGTGATTGCAATGTTGAAATATAGCACTGAGAATAAAGGTATAAATTTAGGTGCTTATTTCATATGAAAGATGTTCTGAGGTAAGATAATTTATTAAATATCTGTAGGAAAAAAGTTTTTTTAGTCTCAACAATTAAAATAGTATATTTCAAATTTATACTTATTTTCTAGAGACTATATCTTATCTCCTAATTGTCCGATTTTAACGCATGTGATATTTTTTGAGTTATTCGAATTTAATTTTACCATTTTATATAGATAAATTTAAAGGGTGTCGTGAAAATGATTTTAGTGAAGTTTCATTGAAATCGGTACATTCGTTTAGGCGCTACAGTCTATAATTACGCAGGTTTTTCTGCATTTTTATTTTTTTTTTCTCCTTTATTAACTCATCAAATTCTTTCAAACGTTATATGTAACATTTTTTCGTAACTCTGAATAATGCGAAATGATTAACTTTTTAAAATAAACCATATTAAAGGTACTTTAGAGGAAGACATATATAAACATTGGGCATTTATGCTCTGTAAAGTGACATCAACGGGGATAAGACCTAAATGATATTAAAAACCACTTAATTATACAATGATACACCGAGTTTAATCAAAATCGTTAGAGCTGTTTTTCAGAAAATTGTAAAAATGTGTTTCAGCGTACATATAAAGTGGCACTTCCGGTTAGCCGATTTTAACGAAAAAGACATGTCACATCCGGCCCATATACAAACCTTAAATACTTAATATCAGTTTCGTACTCCTTTTCGTTTATGTGCTAGACTTAACACACACACAAATACACAGAGGCCATTTTGCGACATTTGGTTATTAGAAAACTGAGATTCGAAAATTTTCACGATCGCAATACTTACCCTTCCTATATATTACATATATACGTAAGTGAAAGTAAAAAAACATTTTGTTAAACCTGTTTGGGTTGAAGAAAAATATATATCTATTACGTAAGTCATATTATTAATATGAAAGAAATTGCCTCCGACTACAGAATAGAAAGAATAAATTGTGCTAGATCAACTACGATATTAATTAAACTAGCGTTCAGTAATTTTAATTATTCTAGAAATAGATAAACCAAACATTTTTTGATTAAACTAGTTTGAAAAAAAATTGTTTAATTAACAACTGTTTTGTAGATTCCAATAAAACAAATGTTTTGCCATATTGTTATTTTAATTTGATTAATTTGCGTCATTGTTGTTGTTTTTATAACTTGATTTGAATATAATTTTTTTATACTTTAAGGTATCTGGAGTTTGGACTTACCTCGTATTTTGAGCCTTTTGTGGTTTTTAATTTACAAGAACTTTTACATTTCTAGAAAAGACTTGGTAAGTTATTCTGTATAAAAAATTGTTTTTTTAAGTAGCCGCTTCATTGTTCAATTAATTATAACGTGTAAATAGATTGCATTTTTTTGTGTAAGGGAAACATAACTGCCAATTTTTCTATAATGAGCGAGTTTTAATATTTTGGTACCCATGACTTGGCTCAACTCAGTAAAAGGTTATAGATAAAATGTAACTAATCACAGCTAACTTAAATATTTATCTGTGGAATTCAAATATATCTACCATTTTTCAATTCCTTTCTAATTTAGAAAGATTCAATATTGTAACAAAATACTTTATTTATTTATTCATGATATAAAATTTACTTAAATCTGAAAATAACCCCCACTTCACAACCATTATCATAGATTCAAATTGCTTGATGAAATGAGGTCACAATTTTAAAATCTTACTCTTTTAACAAATAAAACCAAATAAAGTGTATAACGGTGAAATCATGGAAAATGTTGAATTCTCATCCCAGGCAGCTTATGAGTCTTTTAGTTGGTATTGTTTTGAAGGAGAATAATACTCTGTTTTATATTTCTTCATAAAAAAAGAAATAATGAAGTACTTATTCAATATTAATAAAACATAAAATAATTAAAAGGGCTGTCTCAGTTTGTGATTTAACCATTTCAACAGTTTTTGTAAGTGATCAAATAACCATAACTGATAGGAACCTAGCGAGCGGAAGTCGAAATAAGCGATGCAATTAAAGCTATTTAATCTCCAATTTTAATTAATAACAACCAATTGGGAGTTTGCGCTAGTAGTAAATCGCGGCCTAATTAAAATGAGGCGATACTGTGAACATGTCAATTATCGGCCATTCTCGGAATCTCAGTTTGTTTGCTTGAACTATATGAAGAATTTAAATAAAATATAATACGAGTGTATGCACCTCGTATATTATTCGTCTTCTCTCACCGACGATACCTCTCTCCCTGGTAATGTATTTTACTAGAAAATAAATATTTGTTAAATTAAAGCTCACTGTGTGATTCTACATTGCTTCTCTCATTAAAAGTATGAGTGCCATAAAATTAGAAAAATCAAAAAAATCATTTGCCATTTCTCATTTTAACATCTCCCATATTTTATCAGGTTAACATTTCCCATAGATTCACCCATACCTCATTATTTATTCGGTTTTAGAAATCTTAAGTGGCAGTTTAATATCCTGTCTTGTTTGATAATTCTCCAACAAAAAAATCCTAAACTTGCTTCTTCTTTAGCATAATATATGGTATTAAAAGTTTTTCTGTATTTTCAGGATCATACACATGACTACTGCAAATACTTCGATTTCTGACAAAGAAATAAAGATAGAAGGAGAAAATGTCTCTCGGAAGGATGAAGTGAAGGTGACGAACTTGCTCTCTGAAATCAGAACAACAGACCTTCCCAAAGAATCTGCAATGCAGGTTGATCAAACTGAGAAATGTGAAGAGAAGGATTCTACGTCAAAGAGTAAGGAAGGAGAATTAAAAGACATCGATAATAGAATAGATTCGGAGAAAGGTAAGGAAAAACAAGGAGATAAAAAGGAAGAGGAGGCCAAGAAAGTGAATAATGGAGCAAAAACGGCAAAAGAAGTCGAGAAATTGGAGAATGGGAACAAAAAAGTAGAAGAAGGAAAAAAAGCAGCAAGTGGAGAAAAAATAGAAGAAGGTGTAAAGAAAGTAGAAAAAAGTGACAAAAAGACGGACGACAAGAAGAATGAAAATTCTCAAAAATCTTCAAAAACAGGAAAGTTATCTCCTTTAGCCGCTTATTTCCTAGATTGGGACAAGTTCACGACGAAACAGAAAGTAGATATTGAACGGTTTATAAGAGAAAAAGCCGAAAGGATGGGAGCTTCTTCGAAGTTAAAGCCTGGGGTGAGAACGTTCTCTGAGAGGGAGAGGAATTGGTTCAGGTGGAATGCGATTAGAAATCGGTGAGTATAGAAATCATTCCAAAATAATACACGTGTACATTAAAATAAGTGGTAAACATGATTAGAAATACCTGGCGAGTCCACTTACGCTTTGGTTACCAAAACCAATCAAAAAAAGTTTTCTATAATCCCATAAAAAAAAATGAGATCATCACCAAAATTTTTGTTTTTCCTACCGCTATTAGATGAATCATTGAAAACGATGTTTTCTAATTTTCTATGTGTGGTGTTGAAAAGATCCATAAGTTTCGGGCTCCTCATGAGTCCAACAAAATACTCAGCCATTAAAGTTGATATCTTTACCAAAAGTACCTCTTAAACCTCTTAAAAAAATTACCCTACTAATTTGCTATTTTTTTTTGTTTAGTAAAGTTTCGGTCCTTAACACCTTTGTACAGGGCACGCCGAATCGGGTACGATGCGCGCCATAAACTGAAAACGAGTTTTTTTAAAAGACTTCTAATAGAACTTGTCTCATAATCTTCTCCTTAAAGTTCTTTTAATTTTCATATATATAAATTACTCCGTCCCAACAAAAATAATAATAAAGTAAGTTAGGATGATAAGAATATTTAGTTATTGCATAATTAAAAAAATATTGCACAGTATATTTAAAATTATTTGAAAGATTAATTAATTAACTTCTGTACAGAAATAAAAGATTTTAATAAGATAATCGATTAATAATTAGCTGGTGTGAATGCGTTCACATGTCACTATAATTATTGTCCACGTGACACATTATTATATTTCTAAATAAATCAATAAAACTAATATTAGCAATGAAAAAGCAAATTCGTTTTTCCACTCATTTGACTACTTTTCTTACCACTTCAAGGTAAAAAAGTTGACAATTACCAGTAAAAAATTGGATACAATTTTTTATGTGAGGTTTATAGATTTTCCGACCTCACTTCAATTTTCAAAATCTAAACACATCTGATTAAATGTCCACCTCCGATCTTGGAAAACATTCACTGCCTCTTCACAAAAAACGAGCGCATTGAATTCCCAACAACTTGGTTAACTGACTTATCAGATATTTTCAGGACATATGTTTTTCTTTTTTTCCCGAAGATGTGGAAGTTGTTTCATTTATAAAGTAAATATATACATTATCATCAAGTGAATACAATAAAATTTAATTTGAGTACACTGATTCCTAATTTGGTTAAATGGTATAAAATGTATGAAATCAATGTATGAAATCTGAGTATGCAATTCCATAAAAATCAGGGCTCTTTTTATTTAGTATTTTTAGTTATTTTATGGTTAACCGTAATGGCTTCACGTGAAAAGTTACAAACATTTTGTTATCAAGAAAAATTTCTTATTTCGATTTGGAACTTTATTAATTTCTCATCCGTTTTGGATCCTTTACGTGGTAACCGTATGCAGGAGAAGTTTATTTGTTGTTTTTATGTACTCCATGTGAAATTCTAATATTATAATAATGAACGTTGTTTGGTTTACATTTTAATAAGACTATTATTTTTTTGTGACAAAAATTTATAAATGGAATATCTTTTATATTTTGTTGTTATATCTCCCTTATAAATAGATTATAGAATTTGACAATGGGTTTAACATACCATTTTGACTAAATTGAGGAAAAGAGAACTGAGAAGCTCTCTTGAATTTAATACTGACAAATACAGAATTGAGGAGTGACCGACTGTTCTCGTTTTGAAGAATAGGTGTGTTCATGACCACAAAGAGCCTATAGTTTGTTCAAACATTGTCAACATGTTCGATATATGTAGTCTCACGACATAAGGAAACCCGTTTACACGATTAAGTCTCTTGACTAAAATGAATTTATCAAAGAATCTGTCCAAGAAACATCACCGGGTAAAACGCCCTATAAATAAAATAATAATAATATTTTTATCATAGTCGTAGGAGAGAAGCCATAAGAAGGATGGAGTCATCGAGATCTGAAAGACCACGACCTGGACCGCCACGAGACAGGTACCCTCCGACCAGGTCGAGGGGAGCGGGAGACGCAAGGTAAACACATTTGTATTTGTAAATCGTTTTGCACCAACGACATAGACAGATGTCAATATAATTCGTTATATTTATAATTCATTGTTTAATACCAATTAATATGTGCCTGCATACACTTTTGATATAGCTAGTTGGATGGTTTGCAGATACCGCAATCCTCGAGACGACAGAAGGCTGAGGAGGTACTCCCCACGCCGCGAATCTGTACCTTGGCGGAGTCCTTGGGCATCGGCCTCCATGCCTGTCGAGAACCTGCTGAAGCAAATGGAGAGGTTCGTGCAGATGGTGGACAAATTTCCTCATGCGAATAACATTGTTCCTATGGAACCGAAAAGGCTGGCTCTGCTGCCCACTCCGAACGGCTACATTTCTTCAAGGTATTAAGTATATAAATATAATATTAATAAATATTTGGTACCTTCAATGCGAGATTTTGTAGTATGCAATACCAGTGCTCTCATTACACCAATAGCATGGCGACGATCGAAATAGTCATTAATATAAAGCAAACTATAAATCGAACCGATTCAGTGTTCAGAGCTTGGAAAGCTGAGATACTAAAAAATAAAATATCTAAACTATATAGTCATCGAGTATAGTATGAACGGGTCCCGTTAAGTTATCGAGGAGTGACAAAAATGAATGATTAATGTTTTTAGTTAATACTGTCTACTTTTATATTATTATATATAATCCAATAATTACCGAATGGAAAATAAATTTATCCATAGAAACTAGATGAAATTTTCGTAGAAACTCATTACTCTTACGAGAGATAAGTGGAACATAAAAATATTGAATGCTATCGGATGTGTAAAACATATGTGTATAACCTCAAATAAATTTACTATAGTTTAACAAGTTTAGATTTGAAAAAACAAATGTATTTATTGCAAAAACTAACGTACATAACTTCAAACTTTTCAGTCTATAATATTACGACTAATCACTCAAGCGCCATGGTACATTAATAACCACACTTCACACATCGACTTAACGTTTCGACAGTCAATGAACACATACGAACATACTACAAACGATTTCATAATATGATAAATAGACACTCCAACCAACTGGTAAAATTATGGCCACAACTAGTATGCCCTAGAACTCCAGAAGACGACTGAAAAGGGTCTGGATGAGGGATCTAGTTAAATAATGTTTTAATAAATAAAATACATACAAACCAGAAGGGGTACCGCTGGGTATTACTTTTCCTCATGCCTATCAAGCCTTTTTATTTATTTATTTATTTTTTTATTATCATTATTATTTTTTACTATTTTTTTTCTTCTCATGACTATGCCAGTACATCTGCTGATTGTCGATAATTGTAATTGACAGGTGTGGAGAAATAAAAGAAAGCAAAAAAAAAAAAAAAAAAAGATTCAACACTTCTCAAAAGTTTATCCATGGTTCTAATTTGTTTATCGAGTTATGGTTTGTGCCATATCATTTAATACACAGGTGGGAAACCTACGGCCTCGAAGTCTTCATAAATTTAGATCTAGAATCAATTAAAATTAAATTATTTAGGTGACAAATTTTTAAAAATTTGGATATAGGTTTGTGTGTGTATTTGCTTATAAAGAAAAATAAATTATAAAAAGTTTAATAAATAAAATATAAAAACGTCCATTATCACTGCTTGATAATTAGGTATTATATATATATATATTTTAAATCTTTTTATTGAGAAATAATATATTTTGCCATATTTAAGGGCACTGAGGACTAAAGCTGAGTGAGGCCCATTCATACTATATTTACAATGCAATAAAAAACTATAAAACTAAAGAAATGTAACAAGGTATTATATTAGACAATTACATTATACAGTAACAATGGAGTAATATTTATTTATCCAGTGCGGCCTCTAATGATAAAAAAAAAATCCCCGCCTATGATTTAGTCTATAGGTCTTTAATCTCTAAAAATTCCCGAGTAGATCAGTGAAGTTTTTTTGTAAGTAATCACAATTTTTATTGTATTCATAAATAATTTTGTGCAAAAAATTATTGTTCTTTTGCTATAGAAATTAGTATTTAAGAGTTATCAGATGTGCGAAAAACGAATATCAAATTTCTTTCTCCTTGAAAAAATAGTTACCCTAACATTGAAAGGTTGGTCAGAACAATTTGTTTCAATATTGCAGTTATTTTAAGTATAGATAAATTGGATTGACCGGCGTAATGTCAAGGTACTTAGTAAATACTTTTGAAGAGTAGTTGTTTAGAGTTTTGAGTCAAGATACGAAATAAAAAAATAAATAAATAAAATTTATTTTTATTCACTTTGTTCAGACGTTTCGGACTAAGTTTCAGGGCTTTATCATTGCGATCCGCTCGAAAGATTCCGGACGAATGAAATCTTTGAATATTCAATTATTTATTACAGTCAACCATCACTCCACTATCAGTAAACACTTTTGTTTGTTTGTAGGGCGAATGGACTCGATGATGCTATTAAAGATAAGCCCCTATTGAACACAGAGAAGACCTTTGCGCCATCACCGAGGTAATCTTATTGCAGACATTGGAATTATTCGTTGTTTAATCTAGTAAAATTTCATAACGTAGATTCACTAAAAACTTTGATGATTTTTTCGTTAGCGAAATGTGAAAAATTGGCGCTATTTGTAACCATGTTTGATATATAAAAGGGTTTGTGTCTCTTCAGTGCACTTGTCATCGATAAAGATGTGAATCGGAATTAACAACAACGTTATTTAAGTTCAGCTGCTGAGAAAGATTGTAATATTTTTCAGAAAAAAAAAAGTTTCGTGGTAAAGCCCACCACCCCTTCTAAAATTAAAAATAAAGAAACATTATATATTTTTATACACATAATCTATGAAGAATGAATATATGTATATAATTGAACGCACCTCTCCGTTTAAGAATTATTTATTTATGATATCCAACTCCGACGTTACGAGTTTCTGATCTATCTTAAGGGAAAATTTGAAATGAGTAAATTAAATGCATAAAATTGGAGCATTTTTTTCCCCTTGTTCGGTTACAACGGTTCGTTCCAAATAATAAACCGAAATACTAACGTAGGTATTTTTTCTTTTCTTTATAATTCAACAACCTAATTTTCCTTCGGAATTTGTTAGTTTATTATCTTTGCGATAAAGGTGGCATTTCATAGTCTACAACTGCTATAAGTAGTCTGCTAAGTAGGAAAATAGAGAGAAAAATAAAATATGAAATTATAATAATAATCGGTTTTTATCTATAAAAAACAACTCAATTTTTACATAAGACCTTTTGAACTAGCAGTTAACGATATATATATATATATATAAGGATAAAATGAAAAAAAAAAGTAATGTAGAATGATGTGAATACACGAGATAGACAAATGCAATGCTTAACAAGCTAAATAAAATATAAAATAATATATTTAAAAGAAAAGTGACTTTACTAACAATATTACCAGCACTGGAGGTGTTCAAGTACAAATACTTATAGCCCTGGAGCCAGGGCCCAAAAATCGACCTCATCGCAGGCGAAGGTTTGATTGTAAATTACGGCGTGTATAACATTTTAAATTAAAGTGAGCTTTGTCTTCCATTCCAAAGCCGCTGCTTTCAGAAACGTCGCCTGCTTTGAAGAATATTAGGCCAGTGATTTGAGGATCGAAACGGGAAATCCATCGCGATAAGTCAGATTTTTTCGATATTTTTTTTTGTTTTTCCACCTATAACGCCTAAATGATGCATCAAAGCGGAAGATATTCTTTAGTGAGAGGGCGGGGTGGCCGAATGGCCTAACGCGTGTGCACTGCACCGCCGTTGCCCGACAACCGGATATATGATTCTATGATATGAAAATAGTCACGAGTTCGCGTCCCGGTGCCAGAGGGGGATTTTAAATTCCCCGCCCTCACCCTCCGGCCTGGGAAAATCCGTTATAGCCTAAAAGGCGAAGTAGGGAAGAACAGAAAAAAAAAGATATTCTTTAGTAAATTAAAGGACGTTAAATTTGCTTCCAAAGAGTACTAAACTTTATAATTTGGTTTCGTGGTAAGGTATAAAAAACGAAGGGGCAACCAACACTGATTTTTACTAAATTTATCAAGAACTGAGAGAAATTACTCTAAATGGCTCTGTAACTCGGAAATGAGTTCCCTAAGAGGAAAAACTTATTGAATCAAAGTTGTAGAGCATCAAATTTTGCGTCCACTGAGTACTAACATTTTTACTGAAGGCCAATTATATATCTCGAATCGGGATTCATTATTCCTTTATGAAATTCGGTATCTTTCAACACATCGTTTATCAAAAATTATCGTTTTGCTGAAAGGTGGAAAAGAGGCTTATACTGCATGTAACATACTCTTAACAAAAATAACTCAGTGGAATAGACACCCATACTGTTGAAATATCAAAAACCACGTTTATCTTCATTAACAATTTCTAGCTATCGGGATATTACCGATTATGTTCGGGGTAAGAGAACTACATTAAATTAGTTGGTGCTCAGTGGACGAAAAACTTGATGCTCTACGACTACGATTCTATGGGGTTTTCCTCCTAGAGAACTCATTTCCAAGTTACAAGGCTATTTATAACAATTCGTCTCAGTTTTTGACAAAGTTGATCAAAATCAGCGTTGGTTGACCATGGTTTTATACCTCACCAAGTAACCAAATTATAAAGTTTATGTACTCGTTCGACGCAAAATTTAACGTTCTTTAATTTATTAACTAGTACATTTTAAGTTTTGATGCATCGTTTAGCAGCTACAGGTTAAAAAATATTGCACACTCTGCTTTGTTGGCTGAAAAAAGTTTTCACTTGGTGGCCCGCGTTAGCAATTTTGTTTTTTACATGTCTAAACCCATATATACAAGTTAAAAATTTTTTAAAAAATTCTTACATTTTTCGCAATGGATTTCTCGTTTCGATCCTCAGAATAACACACACTTTTATGATCGTAATTTACAATCCAACCTTTGCCTGCGATGGGGTAAATTTTTCAGAGTTATTATGTAGGTAAGTAAGTGAGAGGGTCGAGGGATGGAAAATTTTAAAATTATTTTACGCTTGACAATCGAAAAATCAATTTGTTATTCTGGTATATTTACAAACTTTGTTTAGTTCTTAAGAGAGAACGTGAAGAAATGCAAGTCGCTGAAAACATTTGAATTAGTGTTTACGGGTTAAAAAAACATACGGTAATGACCTTTAATAACTTTAAGTTAGCTCCTTAAATTTAAACCCGATAAAGAATTTAAGTATTCAGTAGCCCTACTTGAGCAGAGATTTAATTATTAAAATACTGGTGCTATATAAAATACAATACGGTAATGCAAACGTCATACTAGACTAGTTATTACTATTTAACTTCAATTAGAGAATTGAAAGCCAAAGATATTCTTCACATCGTATTTTCTTACGCCGTGTTCTTCTCGCAGGTGGCCAGTTCAACAATTCAAAAGCGAAGAATCTTCCCGAAGGTTCTACGGCAAAGAGCCTACATCCAGAGACGCGTGGAAGCAAAGGCCTTCGCCGTACAACAGTCGTAGTGGTACTCCTTATTCATCTACTGTCCTCAGGAACGGTAATTGGTCAAATCGGGAAAGAACCCTTTCCCACACCACAGGGGCGACGCCTTTTCAAGAGAGCAGGTATAACTGGACAAGAAAGTAACTGTGAGTTGAATGAGTTTAGTAATAGAGGTAGAGGCCGGGTGGGTCGAGCATGTTGAAGCGTTGCCCGCTTCTTTAACATCTCTAATCTAGCGGTGACGTACAGTGGGCTGAATTAGGCAATCTAGCGGGACAAAAATCATAGAATATTTTCATGGAAATTTACATAACACGTATATTTATTAGCCGGTATAATTTAAAAAAGAAAAAATAGTCGGAATAAAAAAAGCATTATATGCAAAAATATTATTAAAAACTGAGAATTGAGCGCCAGTGATTTGGACTTTTACTGTCTAAACTTTCAACTACATGTTGTTAATATTGAGCTAAACCAGTTAGCGTATTTAATTTTTACCAATATGTATTCCATTTGAAAAGGTTGGAGCTATACAATATTATTATAAATATAATAATAATTAATAGAATAATATATATAATGAATATATTAATATATAAATATTAAATAGAATAATTATTTATTAGATGTAAGAATGTATAAGCAATAATTTTTAAATGTTACAATTATTCTTTTTTATTGTTATTAACAAAGTTGAAAAATGCAATATCTAGGAAACTCACTAAGAAAATTATGTATACCGCTTGTCGATTAGCTCTGAAATAGTTAAAAGTAAAGGCCTTCTGCCTGATAAAATGTAGAACTTTTCATAAATTTATTTTAAAAATTCTACTGGAAATGTTTATACATAAATGTTTATTCTAATTTTATTGTAACTAGGAGATCATATTTATAAATGAAGAAATATAAATATGTTATAATATTACTAAATTATAAGTAAATATTTTATATAAATGGATATATACTTTTATATATTTATGTCTGACTTACCTTCTCATACTTTTCAGGTTTACCTACGCTACCACATATCGACGCTGATCCCGCTTGTGCTAATACAATTAAAATTTAGTTCTTCCGTGGCATACTTGAGTTCTGTTTAGATTTTATTGCCACTAATGGAAAGATAGAGAATGTCATCCTCAGTAATTAGAAATATGATAATTAAATATTTCGAAGTCAAATATCGAAAAATCACAGATACTAGCGAGTGGCTCAGAAATAAAGTGCTACACCTTACATTAAGTGATATTATTTTTAACATTAGAGTCAAACTTTTGTTAGTTAAGAATCATAGAGGTAGCCGTAGAAACTTTAGTGATTCTAGATTGTCTATTTTGTTTGGATTATATAGCATAAAATATGGATATTTATGTAGATATTGCACGGTGCTTAGGTGCGTTTTGGGGGTAAGTACGTTTCGATAAGTACGAAATCTGAACTGAAATGGGTAGTTCGTTGCCGAGCATACTTCATAAATACTGTTCATCAAAGAAATCAAGAGTTGCCTAATGGTAAACTATAACGAGTTTTATAGAAATTAGTTCAAAACCTCTAAAGATGGATTTTTAAATTTCCGTAGTTCAGCTTTATGGCTTCTTAAGGAGCGTTTTGTACTTTTTTTGTGGAGAGTGAATTAGATTGAACCGTCTCATCTCCGATGTATAACGATCGAGTAAAGTCGACAAGATTCGACTAATTGAAGTGTTTTTGGATATGGATTAAAATACCTCAAAAACTAAAAATCGGACCAGCTTACTGTAAGTAAGAAAATTGTTCAGAACTTCATTCTCTCTCCAGAACTATTATTCTACGGCTATTATTCACAATACATTTGCACCCTTAACAATTATCATCATGATCATTTTGATAATTGGTTTGTATAATGATCAAAATCCTTTTGTATTATAAAAAAATATATCGATAAAGGATAAATAAAAAAATACATAAAAGATTTAATAAATATTTTATTCCTGCTTACATCTAATAATAGAAAATTAATAAGTTACACATTTATTATATTACTATAAGTCTAATCTGGTTGGACAAAGACATTACCGCCTTCTTCAACTTCTTCTAATTGTCGGAACTTAATCTTGGGCAATTCTATGCCATATTTGGGATTGGGATCCCCGGTCCTGGCCATTCTCTTCTCCACGAGATGCTGAGGGGCTATCTTTCGATCCGAGGCCTGCCCGATCTTGGCCATGAGGTCGATGAAGATGGTAGTGATGTTAATCTGGGTGGACGCCAACTCCTCTGACCTGTAGTCCCAAGGGAAGACGTGGTGGTAGTTGTGCCATCCTTCCCCCAGGGTAGGAAAGAAGATGAAGTTATTGTTAACGGCGCAAACCGATCTAAAATTTATAGACAGATCAATGCAATTTACATCCAATTTCAAATAATTAACATATAAGTTTTAAAAAATATATATATAAGTGAATATTTAACTTAGGGAAATATAAGTTTAGAGAAAAATATATATATAATATCATATTTATAATATTCTACAGTATACATAGAGAGGGACCAGAAGTCTCGGTAGGAAGTCTGATTAATAATATAATAATAAAAATATAATATAATAATAAAAACAAAGATAAGGGACTTTCATCCTGAACAATCAGCATTCTTATAGATAACATTATTTAAAAAAATCTATTTCAAAGTATCATTATCTCATAATAACTCATTTTCTTGACTCAATTAAAGTCGAAATTACCATGAAGTGCAAACAAATTTGTTCGATTTAACATAAAAATAAGATTTTCTCAACATTTGCGACTCTTTACATTTGCCGTGATAGACTGAAAAGACTAATGAACAGCTGCGTAAGATTTGTGATCGGGGCCCCAAGATACTCCCATGTTTCTCACCACTACGCTGAGTTAAAGTGGCTTTTCCCCTCCTTCCGAAGACAATATTTCCTAGGTACGTTCCTCTACCAAATCATCAACAGCCATCCTTCTTACGCCTACAACCTTCTCCAGTTCAAATCCTCAGTCCATTCCCTGTCCACAAGATCTCGACCTTCTAACCTTTACATGCCTTCTCACATATCTGCCTCATTCCAAAATTCCTTTATTGTTCGCTCTGTCAATTTCTGGAATTCCCTCCCTATCAAAATTCGACATTCCCCATCCATAACCAAATTCAAAACCCTCCTATTCCAATTCCTATCCCAAGAACAGTCAGATAGTTGCTAACCATTCGAGCTGATTTTAATAGAGAATTTGATACATACAAATTCATTGATTGATTCATTGATACATTTTTAATTTTAATTCTTTATTATTTTCTCAAAAGTCTATCATACGAGTCTATCAGTGCAAATAGCTTTAAGTGCCTTGTCATAGTATTAATTGTTTTGTATATAGTTTCGTTTTTTGTATATAGAATGTTTACCTTATATTTTTTTTACATTATTTCTTTTTTTCGATTGATTTTATATTGGCCAGATGTGATCTTTTAATTTTTTTCTATTTCGTTATTCTCAAGGGAATGTGTCCCAGAATAAAATTATTTTTCTATCTATCTATCTTTAAAGTTTGCTACCCGAAGCTAGGAATATTGGAAGAGCACCCTGTTACTACAAGCTTTGACTAATGAATTTGTTTTGTGATCTAACAATTCAACGTAATTGAGCAGTATTATTATTGATTGAAGTTCTCTCGAAATATCGATTTTTTTTTTTTTTTGCAATATTAAAATCTAACTATCCTAAACTGAAGTTTCAGGAGGTGATTAGATAGTCGTAATCATATAACGATGGCTCAGGGGGCTCACTATACCTCCACCAATAAATAAAGTATGCTCCAGTATTTGAAAAAGAAATAAAGGCAACAAGAATTACCGTCAAGCCAAAACTAATAAAAAATTTCTTAAAATGCAGCGCAACTACAGAAAACGGAGGAAATGACATAAGTGGACAATATAATTTAATAAAGAAAATTTGAAATAAAAATATCTTGTGCGCACAACACACAACTTTCACGTACCGCTCTACTTTGAATAGAAATTATTTTCTGGAATGTTGGGTAATTATAAAATTTTTGAAGTGCAAGTTATATCTATACAGATAGTGTGTAAGTTGATTCCAGAGAAGGGTATTGCAGTATTGAAATATAGAACTGTGGATAAAGGTATACATTTTGCCATTAGAAACATCATTAAAATTAATAATGTTAAAATTTGAGTTTAGTCATTCTATCAACCGAAAGCTCATATACGCCTAGAAAGATTTGAAAGTATATGTTGTGAGGACTGAAAATAAAAATGAAACTATTTATCAGATGGTCAATAAAAAATGAGGCAAGTTGCCTGAATATAGAAAGTACTCAATTTGAGGATTCTGCACTCATAAAATTAGTTGCGGCAATTGAAAACAATACGTGGGGGTGGGGATAGCCCATCTGGTCAATAGTTTTATTTTTATTTTTTAGTCGTCATTTGACAAACAGAAGAGGAGGGCCACCATCAGTTGGGTGATTGCCTTTTTTATTGATTAATTTATTAAGATTTGGTTTTATTATTATTTACAAAAGTTGTTGTTGTTGTTAATTTTATTATTTTACCTCGCCTGATGAAGGTCTGATAACAGACCGAAACCGGTTGTGCAAAAGTGAAAAATAATTGGAATATACGGGAAGATAACGTCTTTTTTTGTAAAATTAAATCTCAATCCTGTAACATCAAGTCACAATTAAAGAATTTAAATATACTTTTTAAGTTTGAAAAAGTATTTAAAATCAAGACAATGACACTGTTTAAGATACTATTCCATTGTACTTGTGCAAAAGAAGAAGAGAAATATAAAAATATTTCATGGATATGTTGATAACCTTAAATATATTTACTATATTTACTAAGATATTATATTTAAATAATTAGGTGTCAATTGGCCGTTTATTCCAAACAAATAATAAAGTAATCTTTTAGAACATTAAATTAGTGAATAATTTGATGAATTTTGATGTTTATGAAAAAACATCTGTTCTGTAGTTTATATTGGAAACAACTAAATTTCTCAAAAGGACACGGTATTATAATTTGGATTTAACTTCGATGGGTATATGACATGGGACCCGCATATAAAAATGATTCACTTACAAACACTTTTTTATCAAAATTAATATGTCATAACAAAAGTATCTTGATACGCGACTAATAAACAATGCATACCTACTTTCACCAGACAACAGTTGACTAATTTATAACGATCCTTTACTTATGGTTTTATACAAATTTAGTAATGTTGTAGTGCTGTAGCAATGTTCTGTGTCTGTATATATTCGGGTAGTAGCCAATATAGTAGAGCATCCTCTATAGTTCGGTGGGTGTGCTTTTTTTGCAGCTCGCTGTTAGATGTTATCCAGCACACTTCACACATCTCAACTTCAAATTGCAATATGATTTTGTGTGTCGGTAGGATTGGCAACGCTTGCATTGGACGAATTTATTGCTTCTTCTCGGTTCTTCACCTATGACTTTGATATAATACAGAACTTCTAATAAAAAAAATTGAGAACTTTTGTCATTTTTCACTAAATCTCTACAACAAAACATATCGGCAAAGGCGCCCTTGTTTTAGGATGGAGGATATTGTGTAAACCTAATACATGGTAACCCAATTTTTCTAGTCCCATTTTTATTATTTCACAATCTATAGTATTGTGTAGGTATCTTATAACCACGCGAAAAGGGCTGTCCTCAGGAAGTTGATAGATATGGAACTCTGTCTTTCTGTATTCAGGTACTTGGATATTAGTCGGTAAGAATCTGAAGAATTCAACATTGCAACTACATTATTAGTTCCAGATTTCAAAGCCTACCTCTTTGACTAGCTCGTTGCATAACGGTTTGTAGTTACCCACTGATTTTACGGATACTGAGATCGGTGGAGGTTTCAACATCACTTCTGCACTGGCTTAATTAGTGTTATGACAAATATTTCAGTTGGTAGAACAGTAAATAGATTTGATAATTCGAAATTAACTTGTCTCTCTGGATCAGTAGTTGCATCTGCTCTCGAAGAAACAACATTGCGCGGAGGAACTAGATGCCACTCACCTGTGTCATCACTTGGACCAGAGTTTAAACTTAGTTCTTCACCTTTTACTTTATTCTCCTTGCCCTTGAACATCTTAGAAGCAATTGTTTTCTTACTGGGTCCAGAATGGAACTTAATCTTTAACTACTTGTTGGACTGCAATCTTGGACCTTTAACACTTGTTTTCTCCGTTGTC